TCATGTAAGTCAAGGGATTGTTGTCAGTATAGACAATGAAATGTGGGGCATAAAACAGGTAGTCTCTAAACTTATCACATACAGCCCATTTCAAGGCCAGGAACTCGAGCTTCCCACTGTGGAGATGGTAACTCTGTTCGGCTGGTGTTAGTGTGCGGGACCCATAGCCAATCACTCTCATCTTTCCATTCTGGTTCTGGTAAAGAACAGCTCCAAGACCTAGTTGAGAGGCATCTGTGTGGACTGTGAAAGGACTTTCGAAGTCTGGATACGCCAACACTGGTGGGTTGGTTAGGATGTGAATGAGACGTTCAAGGATCTGCTGGTGCTCTCTGTTCCACTCTACTTTGTTTTACCCTTGGTGGGCTTGGTTTGAGGTGAGTCAAACTTTATCTGGAGCAGCGTGTATAGTGGTCTGGCTATTCGTGAGAAATCCTGCACATATGTTCGGTAATAGCTCAGAAAACCCAGCAGCCTCCTGACATCACCTACAGTCTGTGGAGTTTTCTCTTTCAGTGCTTGCACAGCCTCGACGTCTTTCGGATCCACTCTTACCCCATCTGCAGACACAAGCCGTCCAACATATCTTACTTCCTTGCGAAATGACTCGCACTTTTCTGGTCTCAACTTTACCCCATGACGCTGCAGAGCTTTCAGTACACGTCGCAGCACCTCAACATGTTCTTCAAAAGACTTAGAGAAGCAGAGTACACGTCTAGATAAGGGATGCAACACTCATCCCTGAGCTCCTCGAGCATTTCCTCCATGCTTCTTTGAAAGGCTGCTGGTGCGTTTGACAAGCCAAAGGGCATTCTGACCATTCATATAGATCCCAGTCAGGTGCCTTGAACCCTCGGCAATAAAGCCCTGGTGATATGCCTTGCCCTGGTCTAGAATGGTAAACCTGGCTTTGAACACTAAAACACTGAAACTTTGACTCAAAGTAAATGTATTATGTCAACAAATTTCACTTAGCAGTATTACGTTAGGAAAGCAATAATATTAAGTTTAAATAAAAAATATTAGGATAACTTAATATTATTGCTCTAAACTACTACAGTTATGTGAAATGTGTTGACATCATACATTTAATTAAAGTCAACATTTCAGTTTCAGTTTTTCCGTGTAGGTTTAAGAGCAACATAAGCACAGCACTAAGATAGTCAGAGTGAGGGACATCATGACGTGGCTCCTCCTTTAGTCGTGGAAAAGAAAACTGATCCTTAAGTGGTTCGCAAGATGAACCAACAGTGGAACCAGCAAGGAACTAGAACAGAATTAATCTCAGTGGAAAAGGGGTCTTAGTGAATGATACAGTGATAAGATGTAACCAGAGGTGAGAGAAGTACTCAGATCTTGTACTTGAGTGAAAGTAGAAGTGGAGTGTAGGAATACTCTGCTACGTAAGTAAAAGTCCTGCATTGTTACATACTCATGTAAAAGTACATAACTACTCGCATCAAAATATAGTTAAAGTACCAACAGTAAAAGTAGTCATTGTGCAGATTGGTCCATTTCAGAATAATACATATGATATGTGTTATAATTATTGATCATTAAAGTGTTCTCAAAGCTGGTAAAGGAGCAGCTAATTTGAATGACTTTGTATACTGCAGGGTAGCTTGTTAATTTACTCCAGATGGAACTAAAGTCTGATTTAACACTTGATTATATTTCACATCATTCATCCACATCTGAAAAGTAACTAAAGGTATTAACTAAATGTAGTGGAATAAAAGTGCACCTTTTACCTCTGAATTGTAGTGGAGTAGAAGTACAAAGTAGCCTAACATGGAAATACTGAAGTAAAGCACAAGTATCTCAAAATTGTTCTTAAGTACTTGAATACATTTACTTAGTTACTTTACACCTCTGGATATAACGTGCTCAGTACATGCTGTGGAGAGGTAAGATGGAGGTGTTTTTGATCTTTTCCAGCAGTTTCTCTCTCAGTGTCTGTTTGTGGACTTCATGCCAGAGGTATCGAGGGTTTTCTACGGGTGGAGGCTGCAGCATCCCCGTTGACTCCACCTTCTCTCCGTCCTGGTTGCGCTGGACGCGGTCGGGCACCAGCGCCACCAGCGTGTTGAAGCACACGCCGTCCGTCCTGCCCTGCTGCCGGCCACTGTGCTGCAGGCTAAAGACGCCCAGAGTGTTGACGTCATGGTCGTAGTACGCCGTCGGCAGCGCCTCCTGCACCACCATGTTGGCCGCCCACGTCACAGCGTGGGTCTTCACTGCAGCAGCCGAGGGGAGGTGGAGCCCGGGAGCTGAGAGAGAAGGGGGGTTGGGTTAGTTATAGGGATTGGAATTTGAAAGCAAATTAATATTCGAATATTCGACCCCCAAAAAAACGGTTAACCGAATTTACGAATCCTATACTTATTTTTTTTTTTATGTTAAAAAAAAAAAAGGTTTTAATAATAAATACATCTTCGTTTGTTGTGTTGGACTCTCCGTTAGAGTGGAACGTTACACATGTTTTTTTTTCTTTGATATTTTTCTGAAGATATTTAAAATGGCACTGTCGTATACATTTAATTAATCCATTTGATAACGTGTAATCAATTTAGGCACCCCTCCCATAAAAAAATCGAATATTCGATTAATCATTCCCATTCCTAGTTAGTTCATGGAGATTCAGATAATACACATGGAGGTTTGTGTCTCATTTAGTATCAACATCTATTTCAACAATATCAATTAATTTCTCACATATGTTGATGTAATCTGAATTAAATTGAAAATAATACATGCAATCCAATTCTTCATATTCACGACCATATCAAAATAAAATAAAAAAGGTTTTAACATTGAAAGTCATACTCTGATGTTCAGTGAACAATATCAAAATCCAAATTTAAAAAATGTGAATGTAACATTAACAGTGTGACGAAGTTTCCATTTGTGCATGGACTATTTTACATTTTAAAATATGCAGCTTTTTCCTTAAAAACAATGTACAGAAAATGGGGGGGGGGGTGTGGTGGTCAATGCAATAACGTAACCAGATGAGGGATTACAGCGCCCG